TGGTAATGTCTAAGGAACCATGTGGCCCTTTATTGCCAATTAAAAGAGCTAATTAAATTTGATGTCAGTGATTGCAACAAAACAAATTTTCAAATACAAACCATTCTTGCATTGTAGGTAACATTGCAGTCAGAATTCACAAACAGCATGTTTTCTGGTTTCAGATCTGTGTGGCTCATTTTCATCTCATGAAGAACTGGAAATGAACGATAATACATATCACCGAAACAACTAAAGCCGATTGCTCAAGAATAATAAGCCACCCATATTTTTAGAATGAACTACAGACCACTGTCAGTCTTACTTACTATAACTTTGCATCATGAACTGTGAAGTGAAAAGGAAAAAAAGCCACGCCTGCAGTTTTTCAGGGTTGTAGCAAAGACAAATAGTGTGAGATTTTCATTGAGTCCACTTTCAGAGACCTGGTAACAAACTTTTGTTCCCACTCTTGTGCAACCCCTTGAGTAAGTGAGCTACCAAGCTTTGCAGTATACAAGACGGCAGATGCGGAATACAGAAAGAAGACATGCTAATCAAGTGCTCAAAACAAGATTTTATGTTATTACACCCTGTAGGAGATTTCTAATTCAAACAAGCAAAGACTCATTTTTTCCAACACATTTACAGTCTAGAGGATTGAATGGACTTTGATGAAAAAATGTGCCAAGGCATAACTCACATTTGACTGCAACAACAAGTTGATGTGAAATATGTCTGACTTGTTCCAGGGGATATGGTTCATAGTTGTTGTCCTTCTAAAAATGTAAAGAGGTGAACTATTACAGAGATGCCAGAATTGTCTACAATCTGAAAACTCACTGATAAAAGTTCAAGAAGGGCAGACTGCAAAACGGCCCGTCTTTTCCTCAGTGTTGAGTGTGAGAGAAAAAAAAAATGTCTGTCCTTCTTGTCTTTGAGTGACCACTTTTCATCTCCTGCTTTCTTTTGGGCCACACTTGACAGACCAAGAAAAAAGAAAGACTGTTCATACCAGTAGTTTACAAGAGGAAGAAGAACAAGTCCTTACCATGAAGTCAAACACACTCAAGCCCATCTTCTCAAACACAAGGCACATGTGTCCATGGTGATTAAACCAATCGAGTAGCACAACACACAGGCTGCAACAAAAAAATGTCAAAATAAATTATTACATACAAAACTTGACTGATCTCACTCACACGTTGGAACAATAAAGTTACATACAAAACTTGGCTTATCTCACAGACACTGTTTTAAAACCATCTACGAAATCTGACTTAATAAGTTACAGTATATGCAATATAAAGGCTCTAGCTATGTTGTCCACAAAGATCTGTTGTTTTCATGGTAGCAATTTCCACTCACTAGCCCATAAGGCCACCACTTTTATTTTTCAATAAATTACTATCCATGCTTGATAGGTTAATAAAGTGGCACCAATCTCATAGCCTGTAAAACTTAGAAGTCTGTCAATAACTCTCAGCAAACAATTGCATGCAGGACACAAGAAAAAACAACCAAGTTATATCCAGACCTCCTTCCATTTCTGTCTCTCTGTTGGATCTTCTCTAGTACTTTAATTTCAAGCTTTGCAGCCTCCCTGTGAAAAAAAATAAAATGAATACACATTTCACAGCTTCAGACAAGCAGCTCTCCAATTTTTGCTGCCCTCCACAAGTCTCACGACGAGTATAGTCTTATTGTGATTTGCTTGGGCCCTTGCCCATCGGGCAACTGAAAATGAAAAGTTACTTGCCCAACAGGAAAATCTAACAGTCCCGGATGACTGGACAGCACTTTTCTCGAGCCCTGATTTCATAAATACTTCATTTCTTACACATGTATGAATTTCAATAATCTATTTTGGAATGCTACATGTACAAACCTGTATTTCTCAACATTCTTTATCACTTTCACTGCAACATATGTATTGGTTTTCCTGTAAAGAGATATGTTTTAATTTAGAATGTGTGCAAAAATTTCAGCCCTAAGTTTGAAACTATACTTATTATTATTAGTGATTACCATTTATTTCTTATAAGGTCTGTTCTGGGGATTTGTTTTTAATCGAAACACTATTATTTGTCTACAATTTTCTGTGTTCTTGACACTTGTCTTTGTGACAATACAGCATACATGCATCAATAGTGTTTGGAGAAATCAAATGTCCATCAAGGCAGGGATTTGAAAGCTGGAAATAGCACTATTTAGTGATAATCTTACCTGTCATGGCAATCAAGGACTTTGCCGAATGTTCCTTCCCCTAACAGAGTGCCAATCTCATCTGAAACCAAAGCCAAATAGCAAAGTTAAAACCTTATAGACAAGAACATCTCTGTATTGATCAATTGAGTGTAATACAGGTTATGATGTGTCAATGTAAAATTTTACATAAAAGGTCTGAGTTCGATATACAAGTGGTACAAGAAGTATTTTAGAAAATGCTTTGCAGAGATTAGTTGAAGCCCATTAATGTTTAATGACTTTTAACCTACAAGTCATGACATTACAGAAAATAGCAATTTTCACAATGATTCCCATTGTGATAACAAAGTCGATCAATGGCATGGTATAGTTTTGAACCATTCATTTACATAATGTCAGAAAAAGTTCCAAGGATTATGATGTAATAGTAACAAGTATCTACCAGTTACTGTACGAAACAAGAAAAATTAGTACATCTGGAGTGCAGCAAGTCGCCCTGGTGATAAATGAGGTGACCGTCTTCATCGTCCATGACGCTTGAAAAGCCTCTACTCGGATCATCCTCGCAAGTTGTCTTCTGTTACCGGCAGCGTATCCATTTCACAAGTGCGATTCATTCATTCAAAGACATATTTCACAGGTGGGCACGGCCGCAATTCATTCCATCATAATTTGCATCAGCATGTTCACGTCCGGAGTTCCACCCCGTTTTCAAACATATAGAAAATAGCAAAATATACACATACAGCAAGCACATGAGTTTATTTGTAAAAACAGTTATCTCCTAAGAAATGTTTTTCATTTGTAACCTTGAGCGCCCTGAGTATCTCTGCCAGTATGTTTTAATCCATTCTACAGTGTACAAGAAAGATATGGATCATTCTAAATGGACTGCATGTCCATCTTGAAATTTGTCAAGTTAAGGACACTAATAAAATGTTTTGGATGCATGTGGTCAGCATCAGAAAAGGGTAAGAGTTGCTCTGGCGTGAAGAAAACTAGCTCCACAAACTGTTTCGATTCCCTAAGCGCATCTACTTACCAGATGACAAGCTTGAAAACAACTGTACACTTTATCCAATCACAGTGCAAACTATACCATAAACTACATATTGCACTTTTTCTACCATCATAACAGACGCCCAGCACCAAAAGATGTAGACAGCAAAATCTGAGAAAGGTGACCAAACTCAACCCTCTCCCTAGGTTTTCTCAAATTGTCGTCCATTTCATCAAATTTGAATGTCACGAAAAATGTTATAATTTTGATGTAATGATCAATTCCAAAGTTTTGACACCGTCCGATTGACTGTGACATCTAACCAAGCTGCGTATATGTACAAGCCATCTCTCTCACAGCCAATTGTTTTGTTCGCACGTGACTCATTCATATTTTCGCGTGTACGAATGAAATCGACAACGTGGACCATTTTACTTTTGGAAATATATCTACAGCTCTATGTCCTTCGGTTATAAAGAAAGGCTGGTAGACAAATTACTGGCAGCTACATATACTGAAGTATTTTAGCCTAAAACCATAAATTAAAATATTTTTCGCCCATTGACGATCTAAACAAGTAAGCTTAACCGTTTTCCGGTGTTTAAATCAATTCATTGTAAAATTTACAGACCCGAAAGATCGAGAAAATTGTTTCTTACCGTGGAAACCTCAGAGGGAACATTGCGATACTTCTGTCGCTTCAACCTTCGATCACTTCGTCTAGTACTGCGGCTTCGATTTCTTGACAAATGACGGTTGTGTCTCCTCTCACGAGAACGAACTGTCGAACTACCACGTTTATAATGGCGAGTGTCAGAAACAGGACTATGTTCTTTGTCAATACATCGATGTTTCGAATAGTAAGAAACTAAACTTCCCTCTCCGGAGCTGAGAGAGCGCTTTCTTCGACCGTTTCTTGGCATTTTAAAGTCACTGACTTCCACAATCCTTCGAAAAGATGGCGCCGAAAGCGACTCATCGCAGTAAGAAAACCGGATAAACAGGTTTACTTATGATGTCATCAATCACTTCCATCACGTGCTCGTAAGAAGAGACCTCGTTCCCAGAGTCCTCTCTCTGGGCCCTGGTAACGAGGTTGCCAAAATGGCGCTCATCAGAGGTGCTTCTCTGAAGCAAGTAGCGAGGGTGACTGTCTCGTTCTGTCCTTTCGACCCTAACACATCAACAGCAAGGTAAAAATCTATAAAAAAATTGATCTCAGCCTTATTATTTGAGTGTAAAAGCCAGAATAGCACTCAGGTTAGCCTGTTTACTGTAAGTGAGCTAGGTTTTTATAAATTGACTGTCTTTTCACAGGGACTTTCTTCTGAGAGTTTCGTGCAGAAGGATGATCGACTCTAACCCTAAGTGCCAAGTCATATCAAATTTCAAGAATGATAGATCAGAGCCAGTTGTTGAAGTTGTTTTCAGTAAGCTGTACTCTTTATTGCATGGAATACCAATGATTCTGTAGATCTAACTTTTTTTGCATGGTTTCTAATAGGCCCTTTACAGCTGAGGTCACATGACAGCGTTTTTGCTAACAAAAAAAATTTGTTATGGGCTACAACTTAAAGAATGCTCTTGTTCATGCCTACTCCCTCAGCAAATATTTCCTTGCACCAATCCTCCATAGTTACCAAATCTAAGATGGCTGCCTAATAAGAAAATGTGCACTCACGTGCCCAAAATATGCTTGCATTGCTGGCTATACGACAGTTTGAATGTTCGGAAAATTTAGAGAGTTCCTATGGAAAATGTTGCTGGAGAATAATGTCTTGCATTCCAACAATTTTTTTTTTGCATACAAATCTTCTTAATTTTTTAAAAATTCAAACTTGCCATAAAAATGTTATCTCATTCTTAATGCCAGGGGCCTCAATCTTGGCCAATTTGATATTTTCGACATGCTTTTTCCATTTCTGGCATTCTTTCAGTTATAGCCCATAATTTTATGAAAAGTTAGTAGGTCATATGATGGCTTAGCTGCAGAGGGCCTATTTTGTTACACGAAACTCTACTCTCTTGTTTCAGCAGGGTGCATGTGGAGCTACAAATGAAAGCCTCATCTAAATTTCAACTCACTTTTGTCAAGAAAAAAATTACCCCCAGAAATACAGGCCTCTGAAAGTAAGGTCTTGTATTGAAGTTTAAAGCCCAATTCTCACTTGTGACGCAAGCATAAGCATAAACATGAAAAGAAGCTTATGCGCTACTGAGGATGGCTGTGACATAAGCATAAACATTCCTCTTTTGTTTATGCTTATGTTCAGTGACAACATAGCTGAAAGTCTTTTGCTTATGCTTATGCCAGTATGTCCTGAGAAGAATGTGAGGTTTTGATATTCTTATGCTTATGCTTATGTCGTG